ACCATCTGGTCATTACAACATCATTAGTTAAAACATATCCTGCCTCTAGCTGATATGTCAATGGTTTTACCCTCCGTTCACATCAAGCCTGACTTTGAAATTGTGCGACTTACAGTGAAGTCATACGATTCCAAAGTCGGGGGACCTGCCGATTTCAGGTGCAATTTGCAAGATCTCACCAAACGTAGTGCATGTACTATTTTTGAAATTGGTGTGGCTCTGACCAAGTTGGAACCGCACCAATATGACCGCTCCAATTTCAGACAATAGGGTGCGACTTGGCATGTGATTTGCATGTCGCATGGCATGCAAATCGCATCCCATGTGAACCAGGGCTAAAGACATATTTATGTTACAAATGTAAGTTGTCAAACCATGTTACCACTGGTACTATGACTTGTCCTAGTGATGCTTACACTGTTAGATTTCTTTCTATCATCGACTAGAAATGAATTGGCTAAGCCTACTGTTTTCTCAGTTGGGCTCTTAGGGTGTTTGTTTTACAAAAAAAAAGTGATTGTGTGGTTCATTACTGCATCTGTGAATCATTAGTTCAAATGGGGAGAAAATAATACAAAAATACTAGCAAGTGAAGCTTTCACGTAAGAAAGGAAATCATTTCCTGTTGCCTATTCTTCAAAGCATATAGTGTAACTAATTACCTTGCCTTTATTTCCCAAGAAGTCAAGAGGCTCCTTTTTGTTACACAGGAGGTGTTCTGTAATATTTCAAACAGCAATATGCAGGCTGTATTATATATGAGGCTTGTCCCATAAGGTTTGTGAATTTTATCACATAATAAAATGTCTTTACATGCCTCGTTGTCAAATTCTTATCTTCATTATCTTTTTGCTGGTAATAGCAAGTCAATGGCTAAGCCAAAGAAGGAAAACAGATCGCCAAGAGTACAGAGCTGTTATTAAGAATGATGAAGAGGCATTCAGCAAATGCAAACTTCAGCTTTGTGCCACATCTGGCTTTCTGCCAGATGCAGTCCAGTGTGGGTTTTTTCTGCATCAAAAATGCATGCACAATGTTTTCCATGTATTCCAATGGCCCTAGTTCATACCAGTGCAGTCAGTTCCAGTCAGTTTCTGTTGCAGAAAAAAAAGTAGAACATGCTGCCTTTTTTCTGCACAGAACTGTACTGGAACATAGCAAGCTGCATCAAAACTGCACCGGAACGGAGTGTGGTGTGAACTGTAGGGAAAAACGTATCCTGAATGCATCTGGAGTGTGGTTTCATGATGTGAACTGGCCCGATGTGAACTGGCCCTAAGGGACAGTTCACACTACGTGCTTTTCAATGTGAATTTTTTCTGCATCCAAAATGCACAGAAATAAAGTAGTACATGCTGCATTTTTTCTGCACAGAACTGTACTAGAACATGGAAAAACGCATAAATAATGCACCAGATGCACCAAAAAGCACCAATGACACACTGGAATGCACATGTCCCTATTTAAATTGAAAAAAATTACCAGAACATATAAAAAATGAATCAATAATTCACCAAAATGCGCCAAAAAACGCACCGAAAACGTGCATGCAGAAACGCATCTGGAATGTATCTGGACTGCATTTCTATGGTGTAAACTGGTCCTGAAACATTTCCAGCATACATACCTTAATTCCTGTAGAATTCCAGCATAATGAGCTGTGAGATGGGGAAACAGCTCTCATTGTTTTGAACACTGTTTGTGTGCAGTAAATTATTGTGTGGAGTAAATTAAATGTTCTGGAGTGACATTCTGCAGTTTAGCCACAAGATGCCACTGTTTTCCTAACACAGCCTCAGATTGCATAGATATTTCTATATTCATGAAGAGGTGGGGTTTTCACACAGAGTTTAGAGAACAGGAAGGAGAGAGACAGCAGCCATGTTTTGGAGGGTGGTGAATGCAGGAGCCGTTTGAGCAGAGAATCTGATGGCATCCAGGTGTGAGAACATCCCTCAGTAACCAGAGCTGCAGCTAAGTGAAGCTGATCGTGTCCAAGACCCTGATCCTGTTCAGAGAAAGGAAGATTGCTGCCAGGAATGCTGATGAGAGCCGAGGAACAAAGCAACAGACACTGCGATACCGCATGTTTGTTGGAAAGACATTTGTTCTGTTCAGAGTCACCAGCGGATGCAAAGCAGACCGGAGTCGGTAAGATCGTGCACGCACCTCATTTCAGTGTTAGCGCCTAGAGACTGAGACCAGGCCTATAGCTAGTTAGGGTCTCTGTTTGTGTCAGGCCACAAGTGTTATTACTGATCATTGGAAGGACTCCATAACTTAAAGTGACATTTCACATTGGAGAGCTGATAAAATCCCACAAACTCAAGCCAGACTGGCGTTTTGCTCAGAAGGAATACTCAGGCTACAGGACCAGTTATGGGAGGAGGCATACTGTAAGATTTGTGTAAGACTGTAAGCTGCTGTGCTGCACCGCAGGCTAGCCCATACCATACACCCATACACTGATTCCTGCTCTTTTAGGGTAATAACAGGTAAGGTGTGGCAGCTTAGTTGTGCCCGCCAGTAGGTAGATTACTATACCTTCTACCTTCATCTCAGAAGGCGCCGTGCTGTGCAACACAAGGGTCTCAGCCTTTGGGCTGGGTGTATGTAAATTTATTGTATGTTTCCAGCATTAGTGGTTGTGTTTATTTGCCACATCTAAGTAAAATTCTGTTGTGGCAAAAGCTGGTGTTGGGGTTGCTTTCCTCGTTCGTGACTTCACTGTATCCTGAGGAGCCCACCCCGGTACACGGCTTACAGAGCCAGGCCCCTTCTCTAACTTATACACCAGGTGGTCCTCAATGATGGATAGACCAACTTTCTAAGCAAATTTGTATTATGAGCCCAGACCAGGGGGAGCGCCACTGTAACTATAGTAGTGAAAGGAAGATCAATAAAAAAACTGGATGATAAGTATTGCACTCATACACATGGATAAAACACAGCATATGTCAGGAATGGACTGGCCAGCAATAGTGGGACTCAGCTGCCTTATGAGCTGCAGTACCAGGGCTGGCCAGCGGGTGCTCCCAGCAATCAGAGACTCAACCTTGCAGCCAGTCAAACACCTGGAACTAATTATACTGGTGTATTTAAGGGACAGTCAGACCTGCAGACTCTGCCTTGGTGTTGTGTTTCTCTTGGGCCCTGTATCCTGTTCCTGTCTGATTCTCTGCTGACCCTGCTCTGATCCCTGGCTTGTCTGACCATTCTCCTCTGCCTGACCCTCTGTACCACGCTGCCCGCTACCTGCTGAACCTGGCCTGTGACCCCGACCATTCTCCGCTTGCTCCCCCTGTACCTACCTGCCCGACTGATATTGACCCGGCCTGCCTGACGACGCTTGCATTGTATGTACTGTTATCTGTGGGTGGTTGGTTGGTTTGTTTGCACTGTGTTATGTTTTAGTATTGCACTGTGTTTATGTTTGTATGGTTAGTGTTAATAAATTACATTGTTTATAACATATCTGAAGTCTGCGTTTCCCTGCGTCAGTCACACACCTCTGGTCATACCCGGGAGCCCTGACATTACACCAAGGCCAATCCTGACCAGAAGTGGCTGCACAGGGAAGCCATCTTGGCTTGTTGATGGGAAGGATGGTTCTGGATGAGGTTGCGTATTTATATCTGCTAGTGTTTGATGACAGGGAGTATGCTTATCAAACTCTGAAGGAGTATCCCCAGGATGAACTGCTAGAATGTATACGGCTCGCTCATGTTCTAGTAGATCAGGGCACAGAGTTCTCTGAGGTGCAGCCTTTGATTGAGGTTTGTGCTGAGTTGGTTTCATCTGGTACCCCCGAATGCAGGGATGAATTTTTGCCACCATTTAGTGCAGACCACGTAGAGTCCCTGGTGTGGTTATTAGAGGATGATGTGGGTTACTTTCTGGAGCGTTATTCCACATGTTCACCACAGACACTAAGAGATTGTATAAACGCAGTGCAGTCTTTGGTCAGACAGGCTTTGTGTAAGCTCAGCTTTGTTCAACCCATACTGCAGACATGGACAGACTTGTTGCACCCAGCCTCAGTCAGCTTACAAAGACCCAGTCCTGCTTCTAATCTATTTCCTCAAAACTCTATTCCTGCATTCCCAACAGCTCCTCCTGCCCTGCTATCTACCGCATGTCAGTACCCTGTTCCCACTCGCTGCACCTATCCTGCCTTTAATCCTGTAAAAAAGCCCTCTGTAGCAACTGCTCCCTCTCCTGTTCCATTCTCCAGTTCTTCTCTGTCTCCAGCTGCTCCATCGTTTGCAGACCTGCGATTACTTGCAGTGCTCCACTAGTTAAAACCAGAAAAAAAGCGAAAATTCTTTCCAACCAATACCATCCTGCCAGTATCCAAACCGTGAACCTGCCTTCCGTGGTTCAGCCTGAAGCCTCTACTCAGCCTGAATCCTCTACTCAGCCTGATGCCTGTACTCAGCCTGATGCCTGTACTCAGCCTGATGCGTCTACTCGGCCTGATGCCTCTATTCGGCCTGATGCCTCTACTCGGCTGAAGCCTCTACTCGGCCTGATGCCTGTACGCAGCCTGATGCCTCTCTTTCAGCCTGAAGCCTCTACTCGGCCTGATGCCTCTATTCGGCCTGATGCCTCTATTCGGCCTGATGCCTCTATTCGGCCTGATACCTCTACTCGGCCTGAAGCCTCTACTCGGCCTGAAGCCTCTACTCGGCCTGAAGCCTCTACTCAGCCTGAAGCCTCTACTCAGCCGGACGCCGGCATTCAGCCTGATGCCTCTACCCAGCATGATGAACTGATCCAGCCTGACGATCCTATTAGACCAGTTGACTCGATGCCCGCTGTTGATCCAGATGATCCGGTACCTGATCCGGTGCGCGCTGTCGTGCCAATTGACTCAGAGCCGCTGTCGTACCTGGTGACTCGGTGCCCACTGCCTTGCCAGATGACGCGGTGCCCGCTGGGCGAGCCAAATGACCTGATGCCTGGTGACCCAGTGCCCGCTGTCATACCTGGTGACCCGATGCCCGCTGTCGAGCCAGACGATCCAATGCCTGGTGACCCGGTGCCCACTGCCTTGCCAGATGACGCGGTGCCCGCTGGCAAGCCAAATGACCTGATGCCTGGTGACCCAGTGCCCGCTGTCATACTGGTGACCCGATCCCGCTGTCGAGCCAGACGATCCAATGCCTGGTGAACCCGGTGCCCACTGCCTTGCCAGATGACGCGGTGCCGCTGGCAAGCCAAATGACCTGATGCCTGGTGACCCAGTGCCCGCTGTCATACCTGGTGACCCGAATGCCCGCTGTCGAGCCAGACAATCCGGTACCTGATGACCCGGTGCCCACTGTCGTGCCTGTTGACTCGGAGCCCACTGCCTTGCCAGATGACGCGGTGCCCGCTGTCGAGCCAAATGACCTGATGCCTGGTGACCCGATGCCCGCTGTCCAGCCAGACGATCCATTGTCTGACCCAGTGCCAGCGGTCATGCCAGTTGGACTTGGAGCCCACTGTCGTGCCTGGTGACTCGGTGCCCGCCGCTTCGCCTGGGGGCCCGAGACCTGTCGCTCCGCCTGGGGGTCCGGTGCCCGCCGCTCCGCCTGGGGGTCCGGTGCCCGCCGCCCCGCCTGGGCCTGAGACCTGTCGCTCCGCCTGAGGGCCCGAGACCTGCCGCTCCGCCTGGGGGTCCGAGACCTGTCGCTCCGCCTGGGGGTCCGGCACCCGCCGCTCTGCCTGAGGGCCCGAGACCTGTCGCTCCGCCTGGGGGCCCGAGACCTGTCGCTCCGCCTGGGGGCCCGGCGCCCGCCGCTCCGCCTGAGGCCCGAGACCTGTCGCTCCACCTGGGGTCCGGCGCCCACCGCTGCGCCTGAGGGCCCGAGACCTGTCGCTCCACCTGGAGGTCCGGCGCCCCCCGCTCCGTCTGAGGGCCTGAGACCTGTCGCTCCACCAGGGGTCCGGCGCCCGCCGCTCTGCCTGAGGGCCCGAGACCTTGTCGCATCCATCTGGGGGTCCGGCGCCCCGCTCCGCCTGAGGGCCCGAGACCTGTCGCTCCATCTGGGGGTCCGGCGCCCGCCGCTCCGCCTGAGGGCCCTGAGACCTGTCGCTCCGCCTGGGGGCCCGATGCCTGTCGCCCCGCCTGAGGGCCCGATGCCTGTTGCCCCGCCTGTGGGGTCCGATGCCTGTTGCCCCCGCCTGGGGGCCCGACGCCTGTTGCCCCGCCTGGGGGCCCGATGCCTGTCCCCCGCCTGGGGTCCGACGCCTGTCGCCCCGCCTGGGGGCCCGACGCCTGTCGCCCCGCCTAGGGGGCCCGACGCCTGTCGCCCCTTCTGGGGCCCAAGGCACCCTGCCACTCCGCCTGGGGGCCCAATGCCCGGTTGCCCCGCCTGGGGACCCGATGCCGGTCGCCCCGCCCGGGGGCCCCGATACCTGTTGCCCCGCCCGGGGCCTGCTGCTCTGCCCGGGGGGGCCTGGTGCCTGCTGCTCCGCCCAGGGGCCCGGGTGCCTGCTGCTCCACCTGGGGGCCCGGTGCCTGCTGCCCCGCCTGGGGCCCAGTGTGCCTGCTGCTCCGCCTGGTGGCCCGCTGCCTGCTGCTTCGCCTGGTAATCCGATTGCCTCTGCCCGGAGTCCTGCCCGATGTGCCTCTGCCCGGAGTCCTGCCCGATGTGCCTGCTGCCCGGAGTCCAGCCCGGTGTGCCTCTGCCCGGTGTGCCTCTGGCCCGATGTGCCTCTGCCCGGAGTCCAGCCGATGTGCCTCTGCCCGGAGTCCAGCCCGATGTGCCTCTGCCCGGTGTCCCAGCCCGATGTGCCTCTGCCCGGAGTCCTGCCCGATGTGCCTCTGCCCGGAGTCCAGCCCGGTGTGCCTCTGCCCGGAGTCCAGCCCGGTGTGCCTCTGCCCGGAGTCCAGCCCGGTGTGCCTCTGCCGGAGTCCAGCCCGGATTGTGCCTCTGCCCGGGAGTCCAGCCCGGTGTGCCTCTGCCCGATGTGCCTCTGCCGGAGTTCCAGCCCGATTGTGCCTCTGCCCGGAGTCCAGCCCGATGTGCCTCTGCCCGGAGTCCAGCCCGATGTGCCTCTGCCCGGAGTCCAGCCCGATGTGCCTCTGCCCGGAGTCCAGCCCGATGTGCCTCTGCCCGCTGTGGCGCTGCCCGGAGTCCTGCCCGGTGTGCCAGTCTTTGATATTCCCGCCCAGTTACCAGACCCGGGCGTGGAACATTTTGCCCCAGCTAGGACTGTTTGGAGCGGTCCCTGAGGCCGCTCCTTGAGGGGGGGGATACTGTCAGGAATGGACTGCCAGCAATAGTGGGACTCAGCTGCCTTATGAGCTGTTTTCAGTACCAGGGCTGGCCAGCGGGTGCTCCCAGCCAATTAGAGACTCAACCTTGCAGCCAGTCAAACACCTGGAACTAATTATACTGGTGTATTTAAGGGACATTCAGACCTGCAGACTCTGCCTTGGTGTTGTGTTTCTCTTGGCCCAGTATCCTGTTCCTGCTCTCTGTTCCTGTCTGATTCTCTGCTGACTCCTGCTCTGATCCCTGGCTTGTCTGACCATTCTCCTCTGCTCTGACCCTCTGTACCATGCTGCCCGCTACCTGCTGAACCTGGCCTGTGACCCCGACCATTCTCCGCTTGCTCCCCCTGTACCTACCTGCCCGACTGATATTGACCCGGCCTGCCTGACGACGCTTGCATTGTATGTACTGTTATCTGTGGGTGGTGGTTGGTTTGTTTGCACTGTGTTATGTTTTAGTATTGCACTGCGTTTATGTTTGTATGGGTTAGTGTTAATAAATTACATTGTTTATAACATATCTGAAGTCTGCGTTTCCCTGCGTCAGTCACACACCTCTGGTCATACCCGCAGAGCCCTGACAGCATATCAATATGTTCAGTGGAGACATCAACGGACAGCAGCTTCTTAAGAATGCTCTGATGGATGTAAAACAAAAGAAAGAGGAGAGAGGGTGAGCGCACCTCTCTCAGTGTAGTATTAATAAAGGCAGCATTCAAAAAATGAAGATTGTGTACACAGCCTTTACTTTATGTGTCCAGTAGGTGGGGTCCTTCTGATGGTACCCAAAGGAGATGTACAGTATGGAGGGTGGAAAGGGAGCTGCTCTTGGTGGACGGTCTCATCGGTGGATGTAAAAATATGGTTGGTGCTCAATCATACACACCAGTGGGTTCTTCCTGGTTCTCATCCTATGAGAGACTATAGTGCTTCTTGGCATACTTATCACCTGTGATTTTCCAGGACTGACTATCCATTGGGACCCATGATATAATGTCATCTGTTGGACGTTTTTGATATATTTCCCGTTGCTTTACTTACTACATGTGAGTGCATTTGTATCATTTATCTTTATAGTTAATAAATACTACTACACATAGAGCAACCCACTGTCCCTTTTGTTTTGTGTTTTTTTGTTTTTTTTTTTGTAATTTTACATCCACCAGGAGCAGCTCCCTATGCAACCATCCATACATCTCCATTGGCTACCATTAGAAGAATGCCACCTGCTGGACACACTGAGGAATGCCTGTGTTACACAATTTTCCTGTGAGTGTATTTCTTTATTTTTTGTCCATTGCCTATTATTAATATTAACACTGAGAGTGGTGCGCTTCCCCTTTCTCCTCTTTCTTACTGCTTTTTATCTATTGGAATATTCTTAAAGTGAAGCATCACTTGCTCAGTCAACATTGAATATTCTGAATCCTAATGCTGCTAGAAATTTAATAAATAAGATAGAAAACTATATCATATGTACTTGTTTTAAACTGTTTTTTCACGTTTCTTTAGGTTACTTCCTAGTTTCCATACCTAGGCAAATGATTTCATACATCCCTGGAGTCTTCAGAAGGGGAGGAGGGTTTACTCAGGATAAGCACACCCTCCTGCCTGCATGCCTGAGCTACGGGCAGATGGATTCCACAAAGAAATGCTACATGAAATCATCTGCCTTTACTCAAGATGGCCACGGCCATAAATGCTAGGGGCATTTTTCAAAGTTATTTCTCAGCAAAATAAAGCACGAGACATGGGATGGATTGGTGAATTGGCTTTGAATATTAAAATGAATAAATTAAATAGCACTTTTGGTTTATGGTGCTCAGATACACTCTGGTTCCACTTCTTCTGCTGCCGTCCATTGACGTCTCCACTGTAAACATACTGAATATATTGATTTGCTGTGTTTTATCCATGTGTATGTGAGTGCAATACTCATCAACCAGATTTTTATTGATTTTTTCTATCACTACTACTCTTAGACAGTGTGCTTTTGATTTCTCCCCTGCCTGTTTTCTGTTTTTTACATGACCATTGGTGGGAAAACTCCAGAACTTGCTTGAAGGAGAGACTTTATTTCTTTAAAGTTGGAGTTGAGCAGCTGCATTTTGGCAGAAAAAATGCCTGATGCTTGTTTAAAGTGTCTAACGCTTTTACAAGCATATAGGCAGTGTTTTACAGGTATCAAGTGCTTGGATGTTAATTAATTTCATTGGACAGAATAATAACATTTTCTGGCACTGAATGAACGCTTAAGCGCTAAAACGCACCTAGTGCTAACAAGCGTTTAGGCGCTTTTACATGCATCAAGCTTTCTTCTGTCAAAACACTGCTGCTACTGGATGCACATGGCCCTGGATTTTTCTTCCTGCTGGTAAAAGTTACTGCTACTAAAAGCTTCTAAAAGTTTATATGTGCGTGGACACATAGGATAACATGAAGGGCCGTTTGGAAGTAGAACACAAAAACGCCTGATGCCCCTAAAAGTGGCTGCAAAAACACCCTTTTTGTGCATGAGGCCTTAAGATACGGCGATAACACATTGGGGAAGATATGACTTCACACTGCAGAATGTAATACTCAAGATGGTCATTACAAAACCATGATCTGGAGTCAGTGTACATGATAAAGCCCTGGGGACTGAGGCCAGTTAGGGTAACCTTGTGAACAGTCCCACATTGGCACCAGCTGAAAATCCTCCCCCAGATCGGGAATATTTGGATTATCTTATTATCCTAGCCTGGTTTTCCACATTACTTGGATAGGGCCTAGAAAAAAGCCAGTAAGCAGGTTGGATGCAACTAACAGCAGACAAACCAAACTACTGACTTCACCCAGGATCTCAATAAACAACTGGAAGATGCTCTTGCTAAAACTGATGATCTAGAAACCAGATCCCACCACTATGAATTTTTGCATTCATACTTTCCCAGAATCCATGACCAATGTAGAAGAGGTGGTTAAAGAATTGCTACTACATGCAATCCCTGCCCATGGACTGAACTGGACTGTGCACACAGGACCCTAACCTCTCCATGCTGGGATGGTAACCGTAGAGAAATAGTTAAGCCTTATTAGGAACAAGTGATGGAAAAAGCCAAAGAATTGTCCAAATGCCATCTCAGGTGGTATAGGATCAAAATTTTCACAGCTAATTCCCCCACCATAGTACAAAAAAAGGAGAGTACTAAAACCTTTGCTCTAACCTATGATTAGTAGGTGGATTATCAGTGGCTTTTTCTTCTGTACTTGCTATTCACTCTAAATGACAAAACATATTTATTTTCCTACACCCCAGAAGGGAGAGGATCTGTTGAAACACCTTGGGCTTATCCAATCTTAACCCTCCACCCTGCCTAGAAGCACCCCTCCAAAGGCTGAGGTCAAGGGAGATGTCACCGATGATGTCTAATTGATGTGGCACACCACTAGGCAGCAACATCATGCTATGCAAACAACCTCCCTGATAGCAGATTATTTAGCAGGGAGCTGCATCAAGCATTTGAACCTCTGGGTTTCCTCATGCTTGATCTTTTGCTATAATCTTTCTTTTCTTTTTGCTCCTCATTTCAAATATGAGCCACTTGACTATTTTTCTCCTTTCAGGCTCTTAGTGCTGAGCCTGTGTGCTCCCTCCACAGTTATCCTTTTGTGTAACCAACCAGCTTCTAAGTTCAGCTTGTTTAAATAAGCTTTGACAATAAAACCTAGATGCTGATTGGTTACTATGCACAGATTTCTGTGGTGCACCAGCTGCTTCCTATTGTGGCACACACAGAAGAGATGGAAGGGAGACTGTCCTTCCCAATTTTGACGTCTCAGTACAGACACTCCCACCCCCTTAATAACAAACTCCCAACACCTCAATACAGAACTTTCAGTACAGACACCCCCTGCTTCCCCAGTACAGAACCCTTAGAACAGACACCTCCTTTCCAAGTAGAGACCTCTCAGTACATATCTCCTCCCTACATAAGCTTACTTGCCACACACCAGAAGAACCAGAAACAGCAGCAGTTGCAGAGTGAAAGGGAAATACCTTCGGCCCATAGCTCTATCAGATGGCGTCCCTATACGCTGAACTGCTGCTAGTCCAAAGAAGCATATGTGGCACGATTAAGCACATAAAAAATAAATTAAGTGGTGACCAGAGACCCCCCCCCCAGAGAGTCCACCTGGTGTGACTGCACCCACCTGATCCCCGTAATAGTAGGCCCACTGGCAGCCTGTGATATATGAGAATTTGTGCCCTGTAGTCTTTCAGCCCAATCCCTCAGAGCTATGTGTATCACCCATAGCAATTTGCGGCTTGGTGCACTCCAGCTGACAATGACTAGGGGTGAGCTGATGCTGGAAGCCCAAGGGTGTCTGAGAGTTGCTTGGTGTCTGTATCTGTGTTGTACATACTGTGCACTGGTGACAAATTTGGTAAACAGTAAATAATAATTATGATCATCCATTTCTATATTCTTAGAGTTTGTTTTTTTTCTGAGAGTAGGTGAAGTCTCTTGGCAGATGTCCTACTAGATGGGAAATAGGTGGGTCACCCTACCGGTCCCAGAGAAGTTCCACTCTGTTATTAAAACATACCCCTAGTTGTACTGAC